ACAATCAGGGTAGTGGTAGAGAGATGTTAAAAGGTCTCTCGTAGGGCTTGGCAACCAACAAGACTTGGGATGGGAAATGGGACATGGAAAGTCAATAATTAAAGCCTCAATTTTCTCATTTGAAAAATTGGGTACCTACCTCAAAGAGTTAATTCCACACATTAATAAATGTATAGCATTTAGAACCATGCCTGACATTGTAAGATCTCAACTCTGATGTAATCACTAATTCACACAGTAAACCTTTCAAACTGCTAGGTGCCCGGGTAATGGACAAAGTAAGCAAACAAGGTCCTTGCCCTCATTGAGCTTTTGTGGTCCAGTAGGGGAAATAAATATTAAATAAATGTATACCCAAATATTAAATAGAATTAAATTCTACCAAATACTATGAAGGATGAGAATAAGGTGCTGAGAAAGAACTAAGAGGGAAGACCACTTTTAAACAAGGAAGGTGTAAACCCTGATAAAACAACAATCTGAGGGCTGAGGCATATTAGCCAGGGCTCAAAGCCTGAAGTAACAGAAAACTCCTTCCCTTCACGGCTCCAGCTGTACCACTGCATCTCCAGAAGTGTACTGCTCTTTCCCAGTACTTCCCCAGCCCCAGAATGGGCTTTCATTGACCTGAGTTGAAGTTGTGATATTGCTTGGTTGAGCCTGGAGCTGGCCTGTAAGTCCTTAAGGCACAGACAAAAACATCAAGTGTCTACAAATTAAGGATGAGGGAGTGTTTTCAGAGTGGGTGGGAAAAAGTATTCCAGGATGAGTGCAGCCTGTGTGAGGACCAGAAGCAAGAAGAATGGAAGAGTGGAAGAGGGTCGTGTGGCTGGAGCCCAAGGGGCAGGAGGGAGAAGCAAGCTGGGGTCAAATCATGTAGGGCCATGTAAGTCATACGGATCTTGGATTTCATTTTAAGAGCACTGGGAAGACACACCTGAAAGATCCCAATGTTTGAAGCTTGACAAGCTAGAAGCATCAGTTCTAAGAAACTAGGATCATAGGAGGAAAGTGGTAAGGGTTAGGGAAATACGATTTGGACAAACAGGGGCCACCACAAAGCTGATAATCAGAAATGCTTAACAGTCTTGATTGCCCACTGATGAGGTTTGGCTGTGTCCTCGATCAAGTCTCCCCTGAATTGTAGCTCCTACTTGTTATGGGAGGGACCCAGTGGGAAGTAACTGAATCATGGGGGCAGGTCTTTCCCATGCTGTTCTCATGATAGTAAGTCTCACGAGAACTGATGGTTTTATAAAGCGGAGTTTCCCTGCATGAGAATCATTTGAACCTGAGAGGCAGAGGTTGCAGTGAGCCAAGATCACGCCACTGAACTCCAGCCTAGGTGACAGAGTGAGACTCTGTCTCAAAAATTAAAAACTTCTTCACTACATAACCTCTTCTAGCTACTGCCCCTCCTCTTGTCTACCTTCTTCAGCAAAAATCTTCAAAAGAGCTGTCTAAAGCCAGTTTTACTCCTCAGCTGTTTTCCATCCATTACAGACTTCCAGTACCAGCACTCCACCAAAATTAATGTTGTCAATAACATCAACTTTGCCACACCCAGAAGTCAATTCTCAGTCCTCTTTTTCCTTGAATTCTCAGCAATACTGACAGAATCATCACTCTCCTTAAAATATTTTCCTCCTACTTCACTGGCCTCTTTTCCGTCTCCTTTGCTAGGCCTCTTTCCATCCTCTAAAGTTGGGAGAACTCCAGGATTTGGTCCTTGGTACACTTTGAATATATTCCCTCCGTAAGCAGCTAACCCAGTTCTATGGATTTATATACACAGTACACAGTGAAAGGCTGGTATACATGTCAGAGCCAATGGCATACAAAAGGCTGACTAGAACTTTACTTTGAAAAATAAAACTAAATATCTTAAAATTTTATTTTACATTATATTTAACAAAGATTATACTTACAACTACACAGTAACTCCTAGAACAAAGACAAAATCAAGTTTTGTTTTGGTGACAGTTTTCTGACAAGATTAACAAAGCACAATGGAAAGGTCCTCCATTTGACTTTCAAGGAACAATCATAAAACAGTCCCCAAGTGCTTGGCATTACAGGCATGAGCCACCGTGCCCAGCATGCCTTTACATTTTTAAAATTATTTGTCCCACTTCCTGGTACTACTTAAACCATTCTGTTGATTAACCAGGGTAATTTAGTATCAATGAAACAATAATAATTAAAGAGTGAATGACAGGACTACTTGTCAACAAGACTAAACCTTATCAAAACTTCATAAAAAGAATATTATGATGTCAATGTCCATGTTCCTCTATAATGGGTCAATTTTTTTTTCTTTTTTTTGAGATGGAGTTGCACTCTGTCACCCAGGCTGGATTGCAATGACACAGTCTCGGCTCACTGCAACCTCCAGCTCCAGGGTCAAGCAATTCTCTTGCCTCAGCTTCCCAAGTAGCTGGGATTACAGGTACCCGACAGCACACCTGGCTAATTTTTTGTATTTTTAGTAGAGATGGGGTTTCACCATGTTGGCCAGGCTGGTCTCAAACTTCTGACCTTGTGATCCACCCGCCTTGGCCTCCCAAGTGCTGGGATTTCAGTGGTGAGCCACCGCACCCGGCTAAAATGGGTCAATTTTCAAAAGAGGGAAAGAGGCAGGGGAATGTGAATGACAAAATCGGTCCAGCTCTGCTTTCATCTCATTCTGTTCAGTGTCTGTAATGGATGGATTCACTAGAATTTCTGCAACAGATACAAATAAAAAATATCAATTTAATATAATTAAAAGCCATTAAGACAAATGACATAATACCGTGGCTATATATTTTACACTTATAAAATAATTGGGCCGAGTTCGGTGGCTCATACCTGTAATCCCAGCACTTTGGGAGGCCTAGGCGGGGGAATCATGAGTTGAGGAAATGGAGACCATCCTGGCCAACATGGTGAAACCCCATCTCTAATGAAAATACAAAAATTAGCTGGGCATGGTAGCATGTGCTGTAATCCCAGCTACTCAGGAAGCTGAGCCAGGAGAATTGCCTGAACCAGGGAGTTGGATGTTACAGTGAGCCAAGATCGCGCCACTGCACTCCATCCAGGCGACAGAGTGAGACTCCGTCTCAAACAAATAAATAAATAAAAATAATAATAATTGATGATAGATTTCCACTGATATCATTAAACTTCGGGAGTCTGTGATTCAGTGATCTCAAGTTCTATATCAAAAGATAGAGACACCCTATTAATCTAGCAAATGTCAATTAAACAAAATTTTTTACTAACATTCGAATGTTAATTTTTAAATGTCCTCCTCAAATAACACAGAAACTTTCTTTCTTTTTTTTTCTTTTTTTTTTTCCAGACA